CTCTCTCTTCTCTCTCTCTCTCTCTCTCTCTCTCTCTCTCTCTCTCTACACACACTGTATTTGTTAGTTCCCGAATTTTCATTTTGTTTCATGTTTTGGTGTTTTTTGTTGTTACTTGTTTTTTTTTCATTTTCTGTCTGTTTTTCTTTTCTGGGTGTTGTTTTTATGCCAAATGTGAATTTGGGTTTACTGTATATTAGTTAATTTGCAACAATCAGGTATCCCGTAGTTTGCATTATGCTCTATTGTGATGCTTTTTTTCCTTTGTTGGAAATAAATTATAATTTTGATCAAAGTCACAAACTAGATCATATGAAATGCTGGGTTTATGATTTTTTGTTTTTGTTTGTCTCAAATTTTGTATTTTTTTTGCTTTTGATTTATGTCTCTTCTACATGTTGCTATGCTGCTTTTGGTTGTTTCTGATTTTTTCTTTTAATGCATTGTGTCATCCGTTTTCTTTGTAAAAGTTGAATTGGGTTTACAGTATATGAGTTAATTTTTATGCTTTTTATGTGTGCCTCTTCTATTGTGTAACAATGTGGTTTAGATGAAAATTAAGATTTATTTTATTTTGTCCATTTTATGGGGTGATTCTGTGTAATATATATCGATTGTTATGTGGAAAGGTTCCCACTTTCTAGCTTTGTGTATGTGTTTTTGTTGATAGCTGAAATCTGTGGATGTATTAATTGGATCATGTATTAAAAGTTTAAAATTTGTTTTATTCAATGAAGTCTCTGCTAATGGTGATTGCAATGAGTATATATTACCTTGTTTTGTATCTAAAGTACATTTTTGTGGGGTTTTCATGTTTCTTGAAGTTTTGGTTAAATTCCGTCTTTTTTTTTGTGGTTTGTTTACCATTTTCAGACCGTTGTTTTATCACATTCGGAGTTTATGTCGACTTTAGTGCGTAGATCCTGACCATTTGAATGATATTAGGGCTTATTTGGTTGTTTAATGTAGTTAGGGATTCTGTTTGGTTTTTTGGGGCATTTTCACTTGAGAGTTGGTTTTCAACTCTTTTTATCATACAATTCTAAATTGGTAAAGTTTTCATACAACCCATATGAAAACTTTATAAACAAAACAAAAAATCAGTATCATGTTAAAGTATCATTTTAACTAAAAAAAGAAAAAGTTATATTGGTCTGTAATAGTCCACAAGGAATCAATTAAAAACATTTGATTAAAATTTACATGTAAATTTTGATTTTTCAGTAGATAATTTCTCATCTTAGGAGTTGAGGGATCTTAGGCTTTATAATTCTATGGTGAACTCTCCTCTTCTACTCATGTTTCTTTAATAAGAAAAATTGTCATGTATTTTTCCCTCAAGCAGCAGCCTTTTTTATTCTATTGAATAGTGTCTTTTTCCTTGTGCATATCAATAATTGTACATGCAACTATAGGTATTTTTGTTTGATTTGGTTTAAAGAAATTTCGTCATCCCCAAAATTTCATGAATGTGAGTCCAACTATAGGTATGATGGTTTGCTTTAGGTATTTTTTTTGTGCTACTATAGGTATTTTTTATTTGCTTCCTGCCCTTCATTGGATTTTCATTTTCCTTTGAAGTTGATACTATTAGTTTGTTAAGGTTTTGGTCCAATTTTCATGTCTCTGCTACTACAAAGTCAATTTGGATTGGGTGGTCTTGGCCAAGTATGAATCTTTTATGTTAATTTTTTTAGGCTCATGGAATCGTATAAAACCTTGTAGGTTCATATACCAAGATGACTCAGCTTGATACCAAGCGTTGACTCACGTAAACAAGAAATGCATGAATTACCAACATTTTCATTTTCTTCGCTCAATGGTTTCATTTGTTCCAAGTATTTTATTGAAATTGCTTTGCTATTTTTTTTTTTTTGAAATTGCTTTGATATACAACTATGATGTGGGTTCGTGAAATCTGATATATTTTTTCTATGATACACAACTATAATGTGGGTTTTATTTCTTTTTATACAAATAAAAAATGCATGAATTACCAACATTTTCACTTTCTTCACTCAATGGTTTCATTTGTTCCAAGTATTTATTGAAATTGCTTTGCTATTTTTTTTTTGAAATTGCTTTGCAATGGATGTGTGGTATTCAATAGGATGGACCCATGCACATCATCAAGCCCGACGAATGAGAATATGGGAGGCAAGAGAAGCTCTCAATGGACACAATCAGAAGAGGATTACGTCATTGAACTAATGGAGAAGGAGACTAGGGGTACGGGGCAGGGGGGGCTTTAGAAAAGGCGCAGGGAAACAAATGGTAGATGCCATGACGATTAAGTTTGGGTCAAGAAACAATGTAACTAGGCTGAAAAGCAAACATAAGTTCTTTAGAACCATGTACAATGATATAAAAAAACTTAAGAATATCTCTGGTTTCGAATGGGATGAAAGTAGGAGGATAGGCTGCTGTTTAGAATGACTTCCTAGCATTATGTAATTACTCCTTTGCATAGACTTTTAAAATGTTGACTATGTTTCAATACAAATATCGATAAAAATAATTTATGGTCTTCTATATGCACGAGAATGAATGGGCAAACAAATACCAAACAAGACTTTACCTGAGTATTCGCTGTTAAGTAAAATCTATGAGGGAGGAACGGCAAATGGGACGTACATATCTATTGGGGGTGGCATCAGAATTGAGCCAGAAAGGCCCAACAGTGCATTCTCTGATAACCCCCCATTAGAAGTCCTGGATGAATCTAGCTCATCCTCATCTAATGAGCACGTATCATCTAGATCAAAAAGACGACGGCATGGGAGCACAACGCTGATCAAAGCAAGCCGCCCACATTGAGTTCATGACTTTAGCCATGACAAAGATGGCCTATAGCATTGAGATGCTGGCATGTGATACCGCAGGTAACAACAGTACTCCTGTGTTGGATGGTCCGTTTAAGGCTAGGAGAGATGCCTGTAAAATTGTTGAAGACATGTGGAAAGCATGCGAAGTTGGTGATATTGTCCTTTTAACGGCGGCAAGGATCTTCCAAGATTCTATAAAGGCGGAGATGTTACTAAACTTGGAGGATCCAAGGATGCAAAAGGCTTACTTGGATGAAGAGATTAAACGCCTCCAATAGAGTTTTGATTGACTGTGTTTAATTTTAACATCAAAGACTGCTTCTTTCATTTGTATGTGAATGGCTTATGTTATTTTAATGTCAAATATTGCTTCATGGTTTGCTTTATAGATGATGACTTCTTTCATTTGTATGATGGTTTGCTTTATGGATGATGAAAGAGATGGCTTCTTTCATTTGTGTGTGGATGACTTCTTTCATTTTAATGTCAAAGATTGCTTCATGGTTTGGTTTATGGATTATGGTTTCTTGCATTTGTATGATTGTTTGCTTTATGGATGATGAAAGAGATGGTTTCTTTCATTTGTATGTGGATGACTTCTTTCATTTTAATGTCAAAGATTGCTTCATGGTTTGCGTTTATGGATTATGGTTTCTTTCATTTGTATGATGGTTTGCTTTATGGATGATGAAAGAGATGGCTTCTTTCATTTGTATGTGGATAGCTTCTTTCATTTTAATGTCAAATATTGCTTCGTGGTTTGCTTTACTGTTGTGGATGGCTTCTTTCATTTGTAGTTATGGATCCCCAACGGCGTCGGTTGGTGGTAATATTATGTGCTGCATATACAACGTGTTGCATTGCATATTGGTATATCACTACCCAAATGAGGAGGGGGCGTGTTCATACTTCAATTTTTACTGGGGCCAATTATGTCCAATACTTGCTGTCAGGACACCCTCGTAAGTGCTTCGACAGGTTACGCATGGAGAAAAGTGCTTTTATCAGTTTATGTAATTTGTTAAAGGAGAGGACAAACATTATAGATACAATATATTTGGCAATTGATGAACAAGTAGCCATATTTTTAAGCACTATCACACACGATCAGCGGAATAGAGTGGTCCAGGAACGGTTCCAACATTCAAGGCAAACCATAAGTTGCTTCTTCAATAGAGTTTTAAAAGCGATCTTAGAATTGGAATCCTTGTTCCTGCAACCACCAAGCAATGAAACACCTGCCCACATTGCTGGTGATACACTACGCTTTTACCCATATTTCAAGGTATGCGAGTGTCAAGTATTCCACATTGTCCTTCTCACATCCACATCTTATTAATATATAAGTAATGATTGTTTGTTTGTCTTAATAGGATTGTGTCGGAGCTATTGATGGGATATTGATGGGATTCATATCCCTGCTCGAGTTCGTACTCGATTGCATAATCGTTTCCGAAACAAAAAAGGTTTTCTAAGCCAGAATGTTATGGCTGCGGTTGGTTTCAACGTGCGCTTCCATTATGTACTTCAGGTTGGGAAGGATCCACATCAGATTCTAAAGTCCTATATGATGCAATTAGTAATGGACACAGTAGGCTTGCAGTGCCTGAGGTTAACTCCATTACATTATTTTTCGTTCCTTCGGTTTGTACAATATTTGGTAGCGTAATATCTGGCTTTATAATATACTCATTGCACAAACATGGAACCGGAAAATACTACCTTGTAGATGGTGGCTATCCTACTAAGCATGGTTTCATAGGACCATATCGAAGAGTCCTGTTACCATCTAAACGAATTTATTTCAGGCCCACGAGCTCCTCAAAATCACAAGGAGTTATTCAACAAGCGGCATTTGACACTTAGAAATGTGGTGGAGAGGACATTTGGGCTTTGGAAGGCCAGATTTCCTGTACTTAGGAATCAAATGCAGTATCTTTTACGAACACATGTTGATGTAGTTATTGCATGTGCAATATTGCACAACTACATCATGATGACACGAGGAGCCGATAGCAGAAGAGAGCTGCGCTTTCGTAGGAGGGTTGAGAGTGAACTGGTAATTGATGGAGATAATGGTTTCTCGCAATTGACTCAAGGGCAAGCTGATCATGATGATGGTGCTAGTCTGCGAGATGCCATGGCGACGCAGTTGTGGGAGTCCTACCTAAGTCGCTAGAAGTTATTTGGCCCATTTATTATCTTGCAAAGTATATTTGTGTTAAACTGACTTTTTATTGATTTCAATTATGTATGTTTAAACTATTACAGGTTATTGTTGAGCTGTCGTGTTCATTCAATTGCATTTTCAAATATGTATGTTTCAATTATTACAGGTTATTGTTGAACATCAGTGGTGAATGTAAGTAGTGCTCAAGTTATTACAGGTGATTGTTGAATGGACTGATTTCTTACTGCTTGCATTGTGCATGTGTGTTTGAATGGGCTGATTTCCTAGTGCTTGCATTTTCAATTATGTATGTTTAAACTATTACAGGTTATTGTTGAATTGGCTGGTGTTGTACATGGTTATATATGGATGCATGAATTGTGAATGTTGCTTGATTATGTATGTTTAAACTATTACAGATTATTGCCATTGGGGATTTTTTTTACC